CTTATATTATTAGATATATTATTATAAAACATATTTTAGTTAAGGAGTTATTGATACTTCAAGTGCAAAATGATGATATAAAACCATGATAAAAATGCACTTTTAAGTACTAATCATTGCTCCTGAATCCATTAGCCAGACCCTAGTGAGCTTTTCTTTATCTGTAAAGATTGTCACTGCTTCACTATATAAAACCTCTCCATCTTTTAAGGTGCTTGCAACACATCCTTGAGGTTTTGATGACTCTACAGTCTTCTCTATACCCTTTTTAAACCAATAATCCTTTTTGAAGTCCCATTTTCTGCCACAGTTGTAGTATTTTATAGTCTTTTTACTTTTTAATTCGGATCTCCCCTGCCTTTGACTCCCACTAGAGCCACACTCCGTTGATCTTCCTCTTGACACCAACAACGCCTCTACTTGGTTTGAACTGTTTCTATCTTTTTTGTTTTTGCACCTATTTTCTTCTTCCAAGATAACAGTTGCAACATCATCGAAGACTAAATAGTGTGAAAGGATATTATTGGTCAAGTTGATAATGAGCTGATCATACAAATCAGGAAGACTTTGAAGTCAAAGCTTTGCGCGTCCATTTTACTCTATTTGTTGACCCAATGTAGTGAGTTATGAAAATAGAGCTCTTAATGTGTTGTTGTGGTTAGTCACCGATATGGTTTCTGCTATTCAAAGGTATAAAGTCTCTGCTTTAAGAAAATCTTATTATGCAAATATTTGGACTCGTATAGCTTTGTTAAAGTCTCTTATATCTCCTTAACTGTTTTCTTCTCCACCACACTTAATAATACTTCATCGGCTAATGCTAAATGTATGTTAATAATAGCATTGCCATCCATCTCATTTCATTTTGCATCATCAGTAATCTCCATGGGCCAATCCCCAATTGTTGCCAAGCAATTGTCTTTCTTTAAGATTGCCTTGATTCTCATTTTCCACAGTAAGAAATTGCTCCCATTAAACCTCTCAATCTCGTATTTTGCTATCATTGTATTCACCGAGATCTATTCAGTTATCACTATTTCACAGATTTGTAATGTATACAGAAATAGTATCATGTGAATAATACTTCACTAAGTTCCTAGGAAAGATTAGCTGGGTCATAAATGGTCCCATTTAAAACTCAATCTTCTTAGATAGAACTTGCTAGACTTTATTGAATCACCGCACTGACTTTCTATATACGTCAACAGTAACATATGTGAACAATACCGTATAAGTGAATAGTACCGTAGATGTGAATAGTGACCGTATACATGAATAACTTTTATGTATTAACAACACTAACCAGAAAGCTCTGATACCACTATTAGGATACTAGCATGCAAACCCGACAAGATAAAAGACAAGGAATAAGATAAAATGAGAAATGAGACACACAAGAATTTACGTTGTTCACCCAATTAGGCTATGTCCACAAGCAAGTATAGAAGGAGTTTACTAAGTAATGTGGGAATTACAACCTCTCTCAAATAATAGGAGAACAACTAAGAATCTCTCTATTATTAGGAGAAAACACCCCACTTACTCTCTCACAAATATCTCACAATTTTATGGGATTACTCTCTCTTCACTCTCCTCTATCTTGGTGTGCATAATAAGCTTGAAGGCATTGCCTATTTATAGGCAAGAGTGACGGGACAAAGATCATAAATCATGGCACCAATTATGTCATAAATTATGCCAATAACTCATCTCCACTCATACTCCACCAATTATGCCAATTGATTAATTTTGTTATTTTTTTTAGTTTTTTGAATTTATTATCCTAATTTTCTTTATACTTTGAGAGTCTTAATTGTTTTTTTTTATAGATGTAGGATTTTCTAACTTATTTAAAACATCCTGTAAATATTTTAGAAGGAATACTTCAATAGCTTTATTTTGTTGAGGAATAAATTACAAATTTACAGCTAATATCTATAATCATTTTCGCTTATGAAATTTTCTTGTCCTTTAGGATGCAGTTCTTCTTCTTGCACTACCTTATTCTTTCACATCATTCTTTTCCTTTTAAATAGAAATTGTGAGGAACGTGCAACACATAGGCCTTAAGGTGGAGTGACGGGGTTATTTTAATATTACTTTTTTTTTAATACTGTTATCATATCAAGCATAAAGTTTGGACTTGTCAGACAAAATTTTTTAAACAAAAATAAGCATAATATTTGTACCACACTTAAATTCAAACAAGATATTCCACGTTGAGATGAGAAGACTTTTAAATTATGGTTAGAAAATATTTTTAGTATTTTCTTAGATAATTTTAGAATTTTTAAAACTATTGTAGGTTTTGTATTCCTTTCCAAATTAGATTTGTTTAGTGACTATTTAAACAATTATAAGTTATTTTTAGAGAATCATTCTTTTCTTTTTAAATAGAGATTGTGATGAATGTGCAACATAGAGGCATCCACGGTGGAGTGAACATCTTGTTTTAATATTATCTTCTTGGAGATTCTTCTGAGCAGCAACATCTCGAAAGTTGCCTGCATCCTGGTTTATTGCCTTGTCACCCCCCTGCTGGAAGAAATTGTTTACAGAGGCTTTCTATTGAAATCTCTTGCCTCTACCATGAACTGGCAGCAGGCAGTTTTACTAAGCTCAGCTGTTTTTAGTGCTGCTCACTTCTCTGGTGAGAATTTTATACAGTTGTTTATAATTGGGTGTGTCCTTGGATGCTCCTATTCTTGGTCTGGGAACTTACGTTCTCCCATTCTAACACATTCCTTGTACAGTGCCCTGACACTGATCATAACATTTTTTAGTCAAATATAAATTTTTGAGTCATTTTAGTATCTCTTATCTTCTTATAATTTACACAGAAGTTGCTGTTGGATTATTGGGCGTCGTTTAGATACTATACGCAAGAGTTTTTATTACTCGATGATGCATGATTGGCACTGCTCTCTTATATATATATATATATATATATATATATATATAATTTCCTTATCCTTTGATTTAAAATTTTTAAATTTGAATTCATAGATTTAAATTTTTTAGCCGGGTTTGCATTAAATATAAACATATATTTATGAATAAAGTTAATACAACGTATAAGTAATTGATTATCTACCAGGCATATATACTTTATTCTTTCTGTGTATTCTTTTTAAATAGAAACTATGATGATCATACAACACATTGGCATCCAAAGGTGGAGTGACGAGATTATTTTAATTTTACTTTTATCATATCGAACTTTAAATTTGACAAGGTTTCCTCTTGTCATTAGTCCAACATCCACATAATTATTATTCAAATTTGACCACATCTTTTGTTTATTGAAACACAAAGTATGGTTACAGTAGATTTTCAAAGAGCTTAGCTATCAGATTTGGATTTGTTGCCATTGATTTATGTGAAATATCTAACAATAACAAAAACGTTTATGGATATCAGATGAACAACCCTAAATCCCCTTAAAAAAAAAAACCCTCAAACCTGTCAAAGTATTTTATATATCTATAAAATAAAATAAATTAAATTAAACTGATCGATGAATCATATTCAAATTTAGTCATAATGTTTTAGAGAGGCCTTATAACTAGTTGAGGGAGGGAAAGTCCATAAATTGAGCCCAAAAAATATTATTTTTTAATTTTTATTATTTTTCTAGTTAATTTTTATTTTATTATTTTTCTAGCTATTTTAGAGTATCTTTCCCATTTCAAATTAGGTTGGTTTAGTACCTATTTAATTAAATGTTATTTTCAGAGTATTTTTTATCAGATTTTTATTTAGACTTTTATTATGAGTCTTTTTTTCTAATTTAACCATTAAAAAGATCCATTAGCAGATTAAGATTGTTCATTAACCTAATTCTTTGCTTATATCAAGCTTCTATTTTTTGCATATGGTGGTAACTTAAATTATTTGTGCACAATATTCATCAAACTACAATAAGTAAAGGTTTGCCTGTTGGTGAAACTAGTCTCGTATATATTCTGATCATCCTCATGGTAACTTCAAGAGCATATTCAGATGGAATCGATTGCAGACGATGTGCGTAGCACAATTAGACTATAGTAATTTGTTGAGCCTAAGAGATAGAGAGGTGACCAAGAGGGTTGGTCCATTGAGAAAAAGAAAAGTTAAATGAAGCAATTTGAACACAAACAAGTTCAAATTATTATTACAGAGACATAAAATCAAATTGTTACAATCTCTGAAAAACGTAATACATGATGTTTTATATATATTACGTATCACAAGACAACATCTTCTCTTAGATATAATTAATTAGAAGTAAAAGAAGCAGGCATGCAAGACTGCCACCCTCTGCAGGCAACTTCTAGAATAGCTAGCTAGCTAGCTAGCTGCTCTTCCGGTTGATTGGGTTTCTTTAAGATCTCAAGCCACTTTTCCACAACATAAGTATATAAGAACATCAACTTGTGGAGGGAAATCGAGAAGAGTGCATGTACAACTCGGTTTATTGCAGGAGGAATCAGCCATAGTATGTAAAAAAAAGTTTGATAAACGAAGAAAACTACTCCGACCAGAATGATAATCGCCACGAACGGAAGATTTTCCCTTACTGCTAGAACAGCAGCAAATAAGAATGCCAGGAACATCATGTACATAGAGTAACCAACAATTGCTGAGGCATACCAAATTGCAGGAGTGGAAAATTTGATATCATTTAATTGTGCGTAACAAAGGATTATAGCTGCTGATGTGGCAGAAAGAAAAGCGAGAACGTCCAAACCAACATACATGCTTAGCAAAACCTTAATACTTTTACCACCACCGTGACCTGGTTGAGGTAGCTGGATAACACCGGCAAAGGTTACGCCGGAAACAAGTATTGCCACCACAAGAAGAGTATCTATCTTTTTGATCATGTCCTCTTTTGAGAAGGGCTTGCGTTGAGCGTGTATGATTTCATCAAAGGGGTATGAACGTTTAGTGAACCACGAAAAGATCGAGAATATCATCATCTACAGAAGAAAAGGCAGTACAGTTAGAACTTTAAAGTAGTATGTAAGCTATATAATAATCTCTGATAATTTCACCAAGAAAAATAATAAAAATACTGAAACACTGACCAAGTCATTATAATCTAGTTGTTTAGAATCCTTCAAGTCCACTGCTTTAGGTCGAGTACTCTTTTCATGGTCCACCAACTTTGCATTAACTGGATGGTCCTGTAATTGTATTACACATCAATAACTTCAATCAGAAGAAAGGAGGTAAGGCCATGTTACGTTGAATCCATTCTTCGGAAAAATATTTATTCTCTAATTATTTGATTTAGTACACACCAACCAATCAATTGTTCCAGTTCATGGATTATTGGGTTTTTAGCTTGTAATGAATTTTTGTTGCATGAGTGCCAATCCAATTCGCAATTTTGCAGTTTCAACTTGAAAAGAGGAAAAGAAAACATGGTGCTAAAAGAAAAATTTAAACTCGGAAGGTTATATCTTCCAGGGGATATCACCACAATTGGTTGTTGTAGGCTGCTTGTCCTGGGTAAGGAACATAGAGGAATCACTACGGCAAGGAAGCCATAACTAAATAAAATTGGAAAAAAAACAAGTAGCTGTGAGTATAATTTGATACTGTATATCATATATACCTTTCCATTTGAAATAGGGCTTTCAAAGTATTCTGCTTCAACCTTTTGACATTGTCCCACAACAACATCAAATGGTGTCATGTTTTCGCTGTTTACGCGCTCTTTCTGAACCCGTCTGTCTTGAATTAGAGCAAGAACTGCCCTACGACAACCATTTTTGGTTGCCAAATGGAAAGGCGTATTTCCATCCTCATCTTTCCCATTTAGAAGAAGTCCTAGCTCGAGATTTCGGAGTATGTACCCCACGACATTTTCTCGGTCGTTCTCTGCAGCCACATGAAGAATGTTCTTCGATTTTTTAGTCAGGAATTCTTTCGGATCGGGCCACAGATTTATCAATTCTTTCACAACTTTAACATGGCCATTTTTGCTAGCGACATGGATGGGGTAGAGTCCTTCGTCGTCATATTCAAATGCACCATTCCTAATTTTCTTCAATAGGAATTGAACTCCCTCTAGATAACCTATGAGCGATGCCAAGTGAAGTGCATTTCTGCCCTTTTCATCTTTCTGACATAAAAGGTCTGGCATTTTAGCCGCGATTTGTTCCAATATTTCTGAAATTAATTTAAAACAAATGAATAATCGATCAAATAATGAAAGAAACACTGGCATGTTACAAGGGAAAATATATGGAGAAATAAAAAAAAATCAATATTTTACTTGTCTTTCTTCCTTGGACAGCGGCGGGCACAGGAGACTTTCCTTCTAGCTTGTTAAGTGAATCAACATTATCACGTATAGTATCGATTAGAGTAGTGAGCATCTTCTCATCGCTATTCTCGACTGCAAGATACAAGGGAGACTTACGTTCATT